CGCGCCCGCGCCCAGCGCCCGCATGTATAACATGATGGAGACGGAGCTGAAGCCGCCGGGCCCGCAGCAAGCTTCGGGGGGCGGCGGCGGCGGAGGCAACGCCACGGCGGCAGCGACCGGCGGCAACCAGAAGAACAGCCCAGACCGCGTCAAGAGGCCCATGAACGCCTTCATGGTGTGGTCCCGGGGGCAGCGGCGTAAGATGGCCCAGGAGAACCCCAAGATGCACAACTCGGAGATCAGCAAGCGCCTGGGCGCCGAGTGGAAACTTTTGTCGGAGACCGAGAAGCGGCCGTTCATCGACGAGGCCAAGCGGCTGCGCGCTCTGCACATGAAGGAGCACCCGGATTATAAATACCGGCCGCGGCGGAAAACCAAGACGCTCATGAAGAAGGATAAGTACACGCTTCCCGGAGGGCTGCTGGCCCCGGGCGGGAACAGCATGGCGAGCGGGGTCGGGGTGGGCGCCGGCCTGGGCGCGGGTGTGAACCAGCGCATGGACAGCTACGCGCACATGAACGGCTGGAGCAACGGCAGCTATAGCATGATGCAGGAGCAGCTGGGCTACCCGCAGCACCCGGGCCTCAACGCGCACGGCGCGGCGCAGATGCAGCCCATGCACCGCTACGACGTCAGCGCCCTGCAGTACAACTCCATGACCAGCTCGCAGACCTACATGAACGGCTCGCCCACCTACAGCATGTCCTACTCGCAGCAGGGCACCCCCGGCATGGCGCTGGGTTCCATGGGCTCGGTGGTCAAGTCCGAGGCCAGCTCCAGCCCCCCCGTGGTTACCTCTTCCTCCCACTCCAGGGCGCCCTGCCAGGCCGGGGACCTCCGGGACATGATCAGCATGTACCTCCCCGGCGCCGAGGTGCCGGAGCCCGCTGCTCCCAGTAGACTGCACATGGCCCAGCACTACCAGAGCGGCCCGGTGCCCGGCACGGCCATTAACGGCACACTGCCCCTGTCGCACATGTGAGGGCCGGACCGCGAACTGGAGAAGGGGAGAGCTTTTCAAAGAGAAACAAGGGAATTGGGAGGGGTGCAAAAGAGAGTAAGAAAAATCTGATATGCTCAAAAGGAAAAAAAAAAAAATCTCATTACCCGCAGCAAAATGACAGCTGCGGAAAAGACCACCAATCCCATCCAAATTAACGCAAAAACCGTGATGCCGACTAGAAAACTTTTATGAGAGATCTTGGGACTTCTTTTTGGGGGACTATTTTTGTACAGAGAAAACCTGAGGGCGGCGGGGAGGGTAGGGGAATCGGACCATGTATAGATCTGGAGAAAGAAACTACGCAAAACTTTTTTTTTAAAGTTCTAGTGGTACGTTAGGCGCTTCGCAGGGAGTTTGCAAAAGTCTTTACCAGTAATATTTAGAGCTAGACTCCGAGCGACAAAAAAAAGTTTTAATATTTGCAAGCAACTTTTGTACAGTATTTATCGAGATAAACATGGCAATCAAATGTCCATTGTTTATAAGCTGAGAATTTGCCAATATTTTTCGAGGAAAGGGTTCTTGCTGGGTTTTGATTCTGCAGCTTAAATTTAGGACCGTTACAAACAAGGAAGAAATTTATTCGGATTTGAACATTTTAGTTTTAAAATTGTACAAAAGGAAGACTTGAGAGCAAGTACTGGCAAGACCATTTTCTTGGTCTTGTTTAAAAGGGCAAACGTTCTAGATTGTACTAAATTTTTAACTTACTGTTAAAGGCAAAAAAAAATGTCCATGCAGGTTGATATCGTTGGTAATTTATAAAAGCTTTTGTTCAATCCCACCTTTCCATTTTGTTCAGATAAAAAATATGGAATTACTGTGTTTGGAATATTTTCTTATGGTTTGTAATATTTCTGTAAATTTATTGTGATATTTTAAGGTTCTTCCCCTTTTATTTTCTGTAGATGTATTTTAAAAGATTCGGCTCTGTTATTGGAATCAGGCTGCCGAAAATCCATGTATATATTTGAACTAATACCATCCTTATAACAGCTACATTTTCAACTTAAGTTTTTACTCCATTATGCACAGTTTGAGATAAATAAATTTTTGAAATATGGACACTGGAATTATGCCTGAGTCTTTCATTTCTTTAGCTAGCAGTGCTTAGACATAACTTCTTGGGGAATTAGAATACCGTGTTGAGTGAGCTGCCAGGCTTGATGTTACCAGCAATGTCTGTTAGCATTAACTGCAGAAGAAAAAGATGGCTGGATGATTAATAACGGGAAACTGAAATGCGCTGTCATTTCTAAAATAGAAACTAGAGGCATATATTGTAAGTCCACCCCCTCCTTTCCTAAGCAGCGTGAATAAGTGCGATGTGGGCTTAAGCTAGCTTGTACCACTTGTTGCCAGAAGGAGTCGATTCTGAAATTTTCATGTAGCTTAGCAGATGGGGGTATTGAGCCAAATCAGAGCCAGGTTGGCTGGGTTTGTTTTCATTTTCTTTACAACACAATGGCCCTTTGAAATGTGGTTTATAGGGGAAAATGATGCTTCTTGTATCGGAATAATTACAAAGTAGACAGGCCGAGTGTTCTGCCGGGTAGGTGCTTGGGTGACTAGCCTTGCTATTGTGTGAGGAAACCAGGGGTTTTCTGTCTTTGTTTCCCGACTTCATAAACTTTCTCCTCTACGTTTTCCTGTTTGGGGCGAGGGAAAAGCGAAGACCGGCTTACAAAATTCCCTTACTTATCATGGACTTTTTATTTATTTCCCCCCTTTCTCCCCCCCACCCCACCCCGGATTCCACTTCTTAATTTGGCAGCGCGGGTCCAAGCCTGTAGTCCCAAATCGGATAATCTCTGCAGCTGGTTACACGCAAAAGAGAAGCCAGGCAACAGACATATTACAGAAGAAAACTCGACTGCGAGGTAGATATTTCGCTTTGTGCGCTCTGATCACATTTGGACATGATTGTGCTTTTGATCTGTTAACTGTTTTACTACAGTAGTAGAGAGAAGGGGAGGAGAGAGGGTGGGGAAACGAGATTGGATTTGCTGTTTTCTTTCGCCCCAGGAAAAGTAAAGAGAGACTGGCGGTGTTCTCGACCGGAGCGGAAAAGTTGGGGGAGCCGCCGTGGTCTTTATTAGCTAACCGGCAGGTTCTGGCGCATCCAAGGCCGCTGGCGGGCTTTTTTCCCCCCTATTTCCGCTCATCTTCTATCCAAAGGCACCAAGAACCAGGAATCGGGCGTCCTTAGGAGTTCAGCATTGCTTGTTTCTAGAGCGTCGCTCGCTGCACCTCTGCAGAAGTTAGGATCCTGCGGCGCTTTCTGCCCTGTAGCCGGGTACCGGCCATAGCCGGTTCTCTCGTCTCTCGGCCTATGTGGCCTCTTTTGCAAGAAAGTCTTTTCTTTCTTGAGGAGCTGCTAATGTTGTGGAGGACTCTGAAGGTCTAGTTTTCTGTGTTTATATTTCTTCTCGATCGCTTCATTTTAGGTGTTCAGTGTGCTGTTTACTTCTTTATTTTCGTTTTTACGGTTATGTTGTGCTGGGAAGAGACATTTATTCTGTTCCCAATCCAAGCGAGGCATTTTCCCCTCTAATTAATGCAGAGACTCTAAAAGAATTTCCCCTGGCCTGGCCAGCCATTGTGATGCATATAGGATTATTCACGTGGTAATGAGCACGTTCGACAGTTCTTGCTCACACATAGGAATGAAAGAAACTTTGAATAAAGAACCAAACGATCGTGCTGGGAGAGAGGGGAGGATATTCCCGGAATTCGAGCCAGTGGACAGTATGGAACGTATATATTTGAAAATAAGTATATCTTAGGGGTATATATATAAAGTTTACAATAATTGACCCGACTCAACCTCCCAATTTAAAGGAACAGGAAAAAAGCTCAGTGAATCTGACTCAAACCAAACATTGTGGGGAGATGCTCAGGTTCAGATATCTTGCAAAACAGAAGAGCACTTTTGAGGGTTGAAATCATTTAAATGATTATCACTCTGCAAAAGAAGGAGAAGCCCATATCTCCAAACCAAGTAGTTTTGAAAGTATAGACCAAAGCATTTTGTTTGCAAACACAGCAGTGTTTGATAAACTGCAGCTGAAGAAAAGGACATCTTTTCTTTTGCATTAGCCTTTTAATTGAGTAAAACAATTCCCAAGATGTGTAATTTCATACCCTGCTTAACATTTATGAGCAAATAATTTTTAAGACCAGTTTCTTTCTTTCTTTCTTTTTTTTTTTTTCCTTTTTCTTTTTTGATTTTTTTTTTTCCAAGACAGGGTTTTTCTGTGTAGTTTTGGTGCCTGTCCTGGATCTCGCTCTATAGACTAGGCTGGCCTCGAACTCCCAGAGATCCACCTGGCTCTGCCTCCCGAGTACTGGGATTAAAGGAAGACTAATTTCATTTTTAAGATGAGGGATAAAGTCTTAATTCTGCCCAGGAATGGCTTACTTCCATTACTGGGTGTTCACTTCATTCCTTGGGATATTATTCTGGTCAAAGAGACTTAATTTCCAGTCAGGAGGGTAAATTTAAATGTTGCTTTGACTTTATACACAGACTAGAAATGTGCAACAGGATGAGCATATAATCTGTTCTTGCTACATTTCCTTTCTCTCACACCCGCCCCCTCCATATCTTAAAGAGTGTTAAAATATTTTGCTGAGCGGGAGTAGATTAGCAAGGTTCCTCTGCCAATGCCGGAAAGCTGGTATCACAGCCCATCCCAGGGGGAAAGGGCTCACATTAACCACTAAATGAATATTTGACAAGGGCTCATTCGGAGGTATTATTACTATAAATGTGTCCCTACTGGACTTTTCAAGGTCAGAGAGCAATGCTTCAATTAATTATTTAGACTGCTAGTAGATTTGGATGTAATAGCTGTACTTATTTCTGGAAAGCGGCACATTCTTGCAGTAGGAAAATCTCCCGAGACTATCCCTCACTAACATCTCAGATGGAAAGGGTGTGTGAGAACCTGGCACTCCAAAGACGACTTTTTTCATGAAACATTTTCCTAAACCAAAGGAAAGAATTACATTTTTTTTTTCCTATTTCAGGGACTATTTTTGGTTTGAAAGGAAGAACAACAAAATAGTTTATGTTAATTTCATCACCACGTCTGGGAAGATCTTTTGGAGTTTGTGTTGGGGTGGGGGACTGGGTGGTGTTTTATGTAACCTCTGCCTTGTCTAAATAGCAAAGTCACAGGATTTCATAGTCCCTATCAGGCTCTGAGCTTAGATAGGGTACATACTCTTGTTTGGCAATAAAAGCAAAGGTTTGAAATGGAAGGCACCAGGCTGAGTGTTCTGAGTTCTAGTAATGGCAGAGTAAACTGGGGTGCAAGGAGTCACCCCCTTCTCCTGTTGGCCTGAACACTGTAAGGGGGGTGAATTTCTGCCATGTCACACGTTCTTCCATGACCCTAGGTAAAATGGTAATCAAATGATTTTGAGAGTAAGATTCCTCCACAATAATATAAATTGAATGAATAAGAGATAAGCTGGGGGGGTAGTAATTACAGCCCAATTCATTCAGCTTTTCAGAACTTTTGTTGTAGGCGCTCCATTGACTGAGTTTGAGCTGCCAGTTTCTCACATTGAAAGAGCTGATCAGCGCCTGGGGTGTGGGGGGGGCAGTACTACTGCTAAACTGCTTGGTGATGGGGTCTTCATTTAGAACCATTACAAGAGCGAAATTAAATCGTGCCTTTGTGTGCACGAGGTTTTACTTTTCAACTGATCACGGTTTATAGCTAACTGCCCTGAGATTGAGGTCTGACTGTGGCCTGATCACTATTAGTTAGCATCTCTATCTATCTATCTATCTATCTATCTATCTATCTATAATCTATATATCTATCTATTTTATGTTGTGATTGAAAGCACTTCCTCTCTGAAACCCCCCTCCCCCATTTCTTTCTTTCTTTTTTATTTTTTATTTTTTTTGAAAAGTTTTGAAAAACAAGCCTTCATTTTTTTCTTCCTGGGATTTCTTTTGCCTGGAACTCTTTCAGCCAGGACTTGTTCATAATTCTCCTATACCCCCCCCCCTACTATTACTTTAAAATAATTTGCATCTCTGTGGGGTTTTTTGCCTTGTTTTTGTTTGTTTTCTGCTGCTTTTCCTCGCCCTTGGAGCTAAGACTTCCTTTCAGGGTCCACCTGGGCCTGGGTTGGGGATTGACTTCATATTCTTCAGCTTCCTTTTTTGACCTGACTTGAAAGATATCTGACTGCCTCTCCCTAGGGACCCTGTCTAGGAGATGGATCCCTTAAAGACAGGAGAAACTGTCCTTTACTGTGAGATCCTGGATAATGTCCAAAGGCACACAGCCTCTGGAAATTTAAAATAAGAAGCTCAACAGAGCTTTCCAAAGACAGGGAGACAGCTCGAACTGCAGGAGAAAGTTGATGTTTTTCATAGTTCTTTTCTATTAAAAACTTTACCGGAAATGTGCCCGTGACGCCGCCGAGAACCTCCTCTCTTCTAGGGATGCTGGCCAGCCCTAGTATTGTTATTCTCCGCGAGGATGTTTTCCTTCTGTGGCCTTTAGAAAATAATGGACGACTGGACTTGCTTGTTTTGACTAAAGAGACTTCTCTTGGGGAGACTGGAGTACTCAGGTAAGCGGGGATTTCTCGAGTCAGAGCCCTCTTTCTGTGTGCGGTTCCGGATGAATTGTATTTTATATTTTGGTAGAATGGGAACACTTCTGACTTCCTGGGCGCTGCTCTCTGTTTTCTCCGGAAGCAAGCGGTAAATCTTTCTCCTCTGAGAGCTGCAGAGACTTACTTAGCTGCTGCTTCTGGGCCAGCGTTCCGACTAGAGGTAGTGTTTCTAGTTGACAGGCTGCTCAGGTGATTCAAAACTCGGAGGGGCTATTTCTTTTTTATTGACCTTATCTGCCGGTCTATACCGAGTCCAGTGGGCACGGATGTGTAAAGATTTCGTCTCTTTGAACCACCTTTGCCTCTCAAGACCCAGTTTCGGCAGGGCTGAGCTGAGAGCTCCCCAGCCTACTGCAGGCCGCCTGAAAGGAAGAGACTGCAGGTCCCAGGCCTAGAGACTCAGCTTGGGCTGGGGCAAACCAAGCCGGTGGCTAACCTGGACTGGGCAGTTCCTGACGTCACCGAGACCAGGCCCCTATCCCCAGAGACCCCCACACACACACAAGAAGATGCTCAGGGGTTCCCAGCCTCTCTGCCCTCCCGTATTCCTGCACCCAGTTGCTGCTACAGAGTCCCCGCCTCCTGCGCGGGAGCCTGAACCCTCTGTGTGTTGACCTCCTGGCCCCAGAGAGAACCCCAGACTTTCCAAATCAGAAGCTGCTGGCCCAGGACTTGTCTTCCTGACATCTCACCCTAGTTCTCTGCCTATGGCCAAGCCGGGCTGGGTCCTTCCCACCCAGGATCAGAAGCAGAGCACTGGCAGAAGCGTGGGAAACTCTGAGAGTCTTCTTGTCTGGTTGGGGGGTGGGTGGGGTGGAAGGATGCAGGCGGGGATGCTGAGCCAGCCCTGCACTTCCTCAGGTGTGAAGTAGAGAGAGATGGCTGTGGAGACCACCCCCACACCCCCACACCCCCACACCCCCACACCCCCACATCCCCACACCCCCAGGCTTGATTCGAGCCAGAGATTTCCTCTCTGTCTAGCAGAATAAGGTGAGAGAGACAGGGGTAGCAGGTGTCTCAAAGCTGGATACAAAGATGCTGGCCCTTCTTGCCGGTCCTCGGCAGTGACATTATGCTTGGGGGTCACTCTTCTCACCTCTTTTTCACCCTTTCCGGCTTAGGGTTAGCCTGGGAAGTCACTTCGAAACTCTGTCATCACTCTGGGTCTTCCTGAAGGGAAGAATATTGGCATTGGAGACTTGAGCTGCCCTCACTCCCAGAGGGCAGTGTAACAGTGACGGTATTATAAGGAGCCATGACTTCTTCCAGAGCATTCTTATCGCTGGTGGCCAAGCTACTAGGGCTGTTATCCCCACTTTGTAATGTCAGGGTTTGGAGCAACTCGGGGAGGCCTGATTGGGAAAAGAAACACCAGAGAGTTTCTGGCCAGGCCAGTAAAGCTGACTCCATCATACTGCCAAAAGGTCCAGTTCGGGAGGCCCCTGACCTCCCCAACCTTCACATGGCCAGTCTCTCCTACAAATAACCCCAGGTCTGCTCATGTGTGTCTACAGCAGAACTCTTTTCCCTTTATGTGTGCTTTGGAAGTTGGGTGATCTGCTAGCTGGTTTGTTCTGTGCTCAGAAGGACTCGATCAGCTGTGTTTTGTCTCCAGGCTCTTCTTATTGAATTAGGCCAGAGGTCTTTCTAGATGGGCCATGGTTTGTCTGGTTCACCCTTCCAGAGTCCCAGCAGCAGCTTTGGACCTGGCTCTGACATCATGGTGGTTAGAACGGTTGCTCCTGGCTTGCCGAGGGCATGCCATTTCCGTGTCCTCCATACCTTCCACTCCTGAGGATTTATTTATACTTCTGGAAGCTAGAGCTACATCAGACCCATCTCAAAATAAGAATGATGCCATGTTAGAGTCAAACACTGATTATAGACATTGCCCGAGCAAGTTATGGATGAAAACCATTTGGTGGCCGGAGTGTGTCTAAGATGGACAGTCACTGTGGAAGCCTGTTGGTGGTCCTGGAGATGTACTGCCCAGGGTTTCTTTTCAACCCTTAAGTCAGCCTGCTTGCTTGCTTTCCTTCCTTCCTTCCTTCCTTCTTTTTTTTTTTTTTAACTCCCTTCCAATGCAAAGGGTCTTAAAACTGGGCTTTATATTCTGATATTGGCCCAGGATCTCACAGAGTAATGATTCAGCAAGAATTATCCAAGAGCTCCAACCTGGGTTATTGCATAACATTACAGTCCAGTCAGGCTGAAGCAAGCCTCTCTTTCCAAGCTCCCCCTCCTTCTCCTCCTCCAGGGAAGGCACCTTAAAATCTAGTCTCCTTGGGAGTTTGTTTGCTCCAACTTCTGATGAACTAGGCTGACACCCTTAGCAGCTTTCTAAACACCCTCTCTTCAGCTTTGTGAAATAGTGCAAAAACATTTTGGAATCCAAGACGGCCAAGTAAACCTGAACATATGGAGGTGAGGCTCACTTGTCAGGAAACTGATTTAAATGTTTAGCTCACACTTCAGGCCCCAGCGCTTTCTTCTCAGTATCCTGCTCTTGGTGCTTGGGTACCCTACCTCTTTCAGCATGCTGGTTCCCCAGCATAAATTATGAATATATATCAAGTGGTACCTTCTGCTGAGATTAATCAGGTCCTATTTCCTCTCGCATGTTTCTGCTTTGATTCCTGTAGAAAGTTCTCCCTGCCCTGTGAGCAATGTCGTTCTGCAAACTTACTATTTCCATGCAAAGTATGGAGATAAGTTTCAATAGGAAAAAGAAAATCAGGTAATCCTCCCATCCCCCACCCAGCCCCAGGAAGATTTCCAAGTTAAGGACACAAAATATTTCATGGCTAGTTGTGTGAGCTTCTAAATTAGCTGCATATAAAGTATTTTAAGATTTTTTTTTTTTTTTTGGCTGTCACTGGCTGGCAATACTCATTTTGTGTGTGTGTGTTGGTTTGAAAAGCAGGAAGAAATGTAATGAATTGAGTGCTGTCAGAGATGTCTTCTGTTTGAACAATCTGCGATGGGCTGAATGGCAGGGGCTCCCTCATCCACTGCAGGTGCAGTAGAGCTGGGAAAGGGGGAGGGGGCCCTCTGTTCAGTCAAAAAGCAGCATTTCCCACAATAGACCACACACTGGTGGCCAGCGTGACATCGGCTCACACTTACATACTTTCCCCCCATCCATAGTTCTGAACCAACAAAGTGGCCATACAGTAGCCTTGCATAGGTTCCTTTAATGAACATTTTGTGGTTCCTATGGCCAGCATTGAAATCCATGAGCCCTGGGAGGAACAAACAGACTTTTAATCGTGAGTTTCAAACTCAAATCTATAGCTGTAGATGTGAAAAGTAAGTGGATCTCTCTGCTTTCTCCCAATATCAATGTTCATAAGGCCCAGATGTGCTAGGATCTGAAAACTCCCAAGTTAAAAGTTTTTCTGAGACTACTTAGGTTCCAAGCCCTGGTCTTGCACGTCCTGTGAGATCAAACAGGAAAGGAGAAGGCATGAATTTCGTGTATTTGTTTAAATGTAAAAGGACCTCTAGTATTTTATTATGCGGCATGAGAGGGCTAATCCTACAAATGAAGGCGCGTTAATCTTGCTGAGCGATGTCCTGTCCCCTTTTGAATTGGTTTTACTGGGGAGAGGGGTGGGGAGGAAGAGAAGGGGGTCAGGAAAGGCGGCAACTGTTTTAAAACTCTGGGCAGAAATGCGACCACCCTTTAGCTGCCCTTGCTGGCAAGGAGCAGACATTAGAAGAGTTTTCACCCCTCACTGGTGTCAACTTGGGCCTGGGTGCAGCAAGTTTAAAACGGGATTATTTAAGAGTGAGATGCTACTGAGAACTGCAGTCAGGCCCTTCTTCACACATCCTGCCCTGGCCCCATCGCTTGGCCAGGTTTCAGTTTTGGATCTGAACATTTAGGGGGAGGTGAGATTCTTCCCTCAGCACAGCCTGCGATATGAGGGTGACACCAAGGTGGCCGGGCTAATAGATGGTTCCCATTTGTGCTGAGGAAAATTACTCCCTGTTTACTTACAGTTAAAACACATCCCTCTAGCCAAGAAAAACATCAACTCTCCAACGGCTCTCCCCAGCAAAGCCTGTTTATGATTCACTTAAACACTTCGGTGGGGCCAGACAGGACCCCTTGCTCACCTCTGCATGGCTAAGAGGAGGAGCCAGAGTGCACCCGGAGGTTCTGGAAGGCATTGATAGCAAAGGCCAAATTCTTTAAAACCTCAACTTACAGGAAGAGATGTCTGAGAGAATGACAAAGCCACTGCCCGTGGCCTCACAGTGGGTATGCCTATGGCGCCTACTTAAAGTCGAGACCCAGAAGAGCATTCTGGCTCCCCCATCCACAGCGGCCGCAGCTTAAGCGCTAACGTATCTTCCGGCCGGTACACACCCACAATTAATCTTTCTTATTAAAGCCTCCATTCGGTACCCAAGGGGCGACTCAAACCTATTTAGATTTCCTTGGTTGGCTGCACAGATTTAAGTGGGCAACGAGTTATAAACCTAATAACAGAGGGCGCGCGCGAGAGGGATTTGAGTAGAGAAGACGCAGGATTCACGGGGGGTGGGGTGGGGTGGAAGGATGCTGTGGGCCTTTACCCACGTCTGGCGTTTGCCTCGGGTTGCAGCTGGGGCTGTGGGGAAGGCAGCGAAACTCCCGCGCGCGCCACGCGCAGCATCCTGGAATGCACCTGCATCCCAGCCCCTTTGCTCAGCCCGCAGGTACTCAAGGCGCCTCTTCCCTCCCAGGGAGGCGCAATCCCCAGAGCATCCCCAACACGGGAACTTGCAGAGAACCAGGAAAGGTTTGCACTGTTTGGGATTAATTGAGAATAATTAACACTGGACACGGTTAATCACCACCTCGCGGCTCTCTCCCTCCTTTCGGGCCTGTGGTGTCGGCCTCTTTTGCTCAGGCTGACGATGCGGGTGGGTCTGCTAGTGAAAGTGAAGACGTCGCGGTAGCT